CGTGTGGGATATCGTCCCACTCTGACGATAACAACATTTTCCAATGTCTCCTGAATGTCTCATATGTTCTTGAGATATAGTCGACCTGAAATGAAAGCTGTTTTAAGGGTGGAACACAAGCAGAAAAAATGACATAACGATTACTGGTCAACATTACACACGATGGGTCATTTGTATTCAAGTCATAGCCATTGGACATTACTTTTTTTCTTTTGAAATATTGTTTTCCATTACGACACCGTTTTCGTCTTTGTTTTCAGTGTTAACGAGTGACCTTGGAAAAGATATCGCCACGGCTACGTGTAAATGAACACGAATGCCACGCTGTCAGTTTAAAGTAACTCCAAATGTTATTGCTAATCAATACAAACTACTTAAAGGGGTCAATCGTAAATTGTTTTATTATGGTAATGGGAAAATGTTCCAATGCGTGGAAATCGTGCTGGAAATCACTGACTGAACTACGGTTGTGAGCATCCTGAAACAAATTGGATTCACTTCCATTTTCAATTGCTGTAGGTATACACTAAATATAAAAATGTCACTGTTTTAGCATGTCAACTGTTTCCGGCTCTCCTATCTGATTTTAATGCAAATAAGTACCATTTTCTGTTAAGACCATAAAATCTCGCAAGCACGTTCGATATCGATCCTAAAACATATTAAATTTTTGATTATAAAATATTTCATTTGTCTGTGTTCTGCTGATACTGAACATTTTATGAATTCCGCGAGGCAAATAAAACTTCATCTTTAACCTACATTTTACGGAAATACTTTGCTGTCAAATCACATCAAACTTATCCCTTTAGAAACTGCAGGCGTAACAATCATAAAAAACAAATCATATAAAGAATTCAACAGACACTACACCAGTCAAATAACTATATCCAAATCGAATGTTTTGTAGAGATTACTGGGGGCTTCCAGAACAGACTATAATATATAATGCTTCGGTTAAGCCAGTTGATGCCACAGTTTATGTACAATGCATTCCTTAAGGACAGGACAGATCTTGTTGTAAAGGACATGTATTTTTCAATATTTAAAATCGCACTTGTTTCGAATTTCTATGAGGAATATGACTTAGTGCTGATACGTTTTTCTATGGTATCAAGCTTTTGGAATTATGATGGTTATTACTGAATCGATGATATGTAAAACATTCGTGAAAAAAACCGTTCCAATGGTTTATTTCTAAAATTCATATTACATCCAAAGAGATACAGTTAAAATTCGGTTTTTTTAAATGGTTTTAATTGAAATTCTGTTTTATTTTTTTTTTTTTTCATTCTTTTTTTAATTCTATTTTATAGAATACCTTTTTTCATGTTAAGTAAGATCATGCTAACATAAATTTGTAACTTCAAACAACGTTCTATTAGCGTATGAATAGCTAATTTGTTAGTTTCGTTTTTTGACAATCCGTAAAATACATTACCTAGACCTCGACAATAATTAGTGTACACATGAGCAAGATACAACGAAGTAAGTGGTTGCTTGCTATTGTTGTTACATGTTTTATTATTTGGGTAAATAAACAATAAATCGAAAAACAGAAAGTAGAAATCTATATATGTCTCTGTATATTTGCAACCCTTTCAAAAGCAGATATGTTGTTTGAAGCACAAAGTAACTTGTGTATGGTAGACCGTGTTTGTTTAAAAGTAACTAACGTAAGGAATATTACTTTTAGTCGAAATTCGCTTAAGTCGAAATATTTTCTTCGATCAATTGAATTTCGCGATAGTTTCGACTGTATACAAAGTCTATACTATTTTCTAACCTGCGACTTATTGTAGTGGCTTAAATCTACGAAGGTATTGTAATCACTAATTAAGTCGCTAATTAAATTTTTGCTTTTTGTGCCACGCCTACGTTTTTGTGTCAAATAGATAACATTAGAGAAACAAAGTAAAAGGGAAAAAAGTAGAAAATAAAAAGGAGCCAGTTTCCTTTCGTTAAAGAGCCGGAAATTGTTCGAGTAGGATAAAGCCTCTCCATCACTCTGACTGCCTTGCCTGTTTTGCTTTTGGCAATATACAAGCAATGGTTTCTCTATCATTTATTCGCGCCACCAATCTTGTCGTTTATCAGTGTTTTCCTCCATTATAAGTGAAGTTTTGATAAACTAAAACAGAAAAAATCACTTCACAATCAAAAGATTTCCCATTTGTTTATAAAAAGTCATAATATCGGTTTTAACCATTACGTCTCATAATAACCAGTAGGACAATTAAAATGATTTTCATGTGTTTCTATAAATGTCATAACAGGCAAGGTTTGTTACAACATATATGACGTCACAGTAGAGCAATTACTGTCGTTCTATCAGTACATATTTATCTATTTACTTTCTCAAAGCATTAAAAGATAAAACACAAAACAATTTAATACAAAATATTTAATGTCATATTCAAGATATTGTGTTTTACTGCAGGCTGTGTACATGTCGATACAAATCAATATCGTAGTTTTATCCGATTCCGCGAGAAACAAACCGAATAGCTTTGCTATCGCGTAATCGGAATACAAAACAACAAATGGTTAGGTTTAATCATGAAAAATTCCACTTGATGATTCTTCAGAACGCACGAAGGCAGAATCAATTTTACATCCCTCCATGATTTAAACAATAAGAGTCGAGCGGACAGAAACATTAGTAAACTCTACCAAACACCATATTCTTGGTGTTTGTCAATCTTGATATTGAATTATGGAATTCCCATTCTAATCACATGAACAAGGGATCTAAATCATAAAAGTTACTGTATACTCTTGTAATGAGTTCCTTTTTACATTGATATGCGTTTACCATAGCTATAAATGAAATTTCTAGGAAACGTTGCATGTCAATTCCTGTAATTTATTACAAAATCTTACTAAATATACCCTCTAAAGACCAAGATCTACATACAAATTTTAAATTTGTTTAATAGTCCATACTCACAAGATATCTAAATAAAAATCACGCTGCTTACTGTGTAACAAAATCGCACTTTGCATTCAAATTCGCAGCACTTGATAGGAAGACTTATTTTTTTGTGATATCAGTTTAAAAGCTTCACTCAGCTTTATGACAGTAAAAATTGACAATAAAATAAAACCAAAATCTCAAAATGCATTATGAATAGAAAAAATCACTTCAAAATAGTATTCACAGAAATACAAATATTTGTTATAGTTAAAATAGCATTTCGAGTGGGAAACTCATTTAGACGTTGAATTCTACGACTGGGTACTCTAAAGTATTGGGTACAACGCTTTACAAATATTCATATTTGATGTAGGTTGTTATATACTTAACAACTAACTTTCTTCTTCGACACTGATGGTTTGTGTTTGCATTTGCACTTGACAAAATAACATAAACACCTAATATAATCGTCGGATACATGAATATACTGTAAACATATATTGGCACAATCAAATGAAAGCGCATTATTACTTTTTGGCAAACCAGCGCAATGGAAGATTAACGAATGCACTATATTTGAAATGGCATTCTATTTTTACACAAAATTTATCTGCTCAAAAAAGCGTTGAAATAAGATTACTGAAAAAATACGTCTATTGAAGGTATATGTGGCATACAGTGCAACTGGTACTGTTGATTGATGATTATTTTTTATCGGAATCACTAATCAGGTAAGTCCGAAAATTCTCAATTTTAGTTCAGTTTAGGTTTTTACAATATAAATGTTGCAAAATAACAGTACAACAACTTTTTGTTGATATATCTAATATACGAAACAAAAACAGAAATGCCTATATTAGCAAATCTATAAGAGCACACGAAAATAATTAACGCACAAAATACAACACTAAAACCACAAAAAACGTGTCGTTTTCGTAAAATTACATGTTTTATGTAATATATCATGCCACATATACACATGTTTGTATACCTACGATAATGATTATCAATGAGCACACTATGCAACGCTGCCATTCTATGCAGGTATATGAACATTTCGAAATCTTCTATGATATAGATAAGCTAACACGAAAACATCATTAACGTAAACCAGGAAAATAAATCATTGTATCATTTCAACTAAAGTACCCTAAGCTTAACATTCATACCAATACATACACTGTTTCACACCGAATCGTCAAATTCACACAGTATTGTGGGAGCAAGCATTGTTTTCATTATTTGCTACACAATTCAGATAATAAGTCAATTCCAACACATTTGTTAGGTAGCAGAATTATCCTAATAGTACTGATCTACGCAAGTGACAAGGAACATTCTTGTTTGTAGTGTGTTGAATCAGTATAGTACCAAACAATATCTTTCTCGTTGTATTTGTAATATTAATATACTTACGGTGTTGTGTCTGTATTTGTATCTGTTTCTCGTATACACATCAGCTTTATGTGAAAGCATTTTCTAATAAAAAGATCGAGTGAGATCTTGTAAGGGATAATTCGTTAACCTCAAAGGCGTTAACTTCAATATACTCCGCTCACAGGTTCACGGATATTACATTTCCCATACGTCAATTATCTTCTTATCAATGATCTGCTCACAAGTGACGCCATTCATCAATAAATGAAATATCATTTTTATTCATGCGCGTCGTCGATGGTTTTGACTTTGTCAATGTTTAGTCCATTCGGTTATGAGCAATCCCGGGACGACTGTATATACACGACATGGATCTGTTCACCTCTTAGTGACGCCGTTGTACATTATTCAGGTACACGGAATGGCCAACAAAAGAAATGTCATTGGCTTGAACCCATGTACAATTGAACTCGCATATGTCTACATTAATTCGATATTTTTTCTTTGCACATGCATTTTCATTGATACTACAATTGATTATTGTCTTCTGTTCATATATCAAAACTGATTAATCAAACCATAAAGAAGGCGCGAATAGACATGATCACGTGATGAAGCCGATATTTCGACCAATTACAGAACGTGTTCCTCACAAATCTAGGTTATTCCACGTGACCACAGTGAAAGTTTTCTATCCAATGAGATTTCAGTTCTGGTCGGTACTTTGCATAGTGCTAATTTGGCTTTCGGTAATCCCTTTATCTGTTGGCTCCACAGTTGTCAAGTCCTAAAATTGGAATTAACTGAAAGACAATAAAAACATTTTTGTTGATTTGTTATTTAGCATTACATCTGAAAAAAATCAGTTTACATAACCTCAATTATCTGACTAATGTTTGCTTACATTATCATATCCGACGTAAAAGCGGTTTAACTACTAAAATATTTAAAAAGGAGATCGATAAGAACGCCATGATAATTACGATTAGCGCTTAAAGGGACATCAAAGCACTTCTAATGATGAATTAATGGCTTTGTAATTTGTTATTTAACGCTTGTGAGACCATTAGATAATTAATGACCTTCATACGACCATAAAGCTTACAATTATTCATTGGTTGTTTAATAAAGGTAGGATGAGAAATAGATAAGTAGTTTCGTAATCACAATGGATGGCGATAAAATCATCGTTATATATTATTCACAAGTAAAATACATGTAACGAAGTGCAAAATCAGGTCCTCTAGAACTTTGAAGTGTGATTTTATAAAGATATATACTTTCAAATATGATATTGGTTTTGAACGTGAAGTTTAATTGCCTATGTATAAATGAGATAGCAGGGCAGATCGACATGACGTCACAAAGCTTTTTTCGTTAAGGTGTTAATATGACTAAGATAGTTCACGACTATATTAAGATTGCGGCGAAGAATTAAAACAACATTTTTTTATTATAAATTAAAGGGTTTGATATATGTCGAGTTTTTATTTCATGTGAATCAATATTTAAGCCATCAAGGGATATTTTTTAGCATGTACAACAATGTGTATTTCATGCGGCTGATAACGCAGATTGTGCTGAAATTTACTCACCATCATAGAATAAATCTCGTTTCATACTGCAAAGTCCAGACTGAAAGAGGAAAGGAAAATTAAACAAGTAATGCAAAATGGAGAGAGGGTAACGCAGTATAGCTTGACAAAAGTTCCGCAATTACACGGAACAATGCGTTTGTATCAACATCGATTTTGCTTTCATGGGCTTTATATAGATGAACAACTTCCTATCATGTATAATCGATGATGTGTGATAATCAGGTTTAAGAACATATCTGTGGTTTGCCATTAGTTTTCCGATTTTGATTTGATGAGAGTCGTGCCGTACTTAAATGTTATAAACACACACAACGGAGCTCAATCATAACAACGGTCCAACCGTATCAAAAGATTCTCTAAGGGCATTCAGCTTATCCCTCACCATAATAAACTCACAATTAGTACCAAACGTTACAACAAATTGGGCCTGTAATAGGCTAGAGTCGCTGATCAATATCCAGTATGGAATTTCTTTTTATGATATTTTCCTATCTTTGTCGAATTTGTATACAATGTCATGTCTTCTCCAACAGCTTGGTTGTAATCGATTTTTTGATACAACATTCGGCCATTCTTATTTTAATACTTGAAACTTAGCAAAACGGCATTCAATCACTTAAATATATTTCAAACTGAAATTTCGTCCCTTTTACATCTGAATAATGTCTTTCATACTGTTTAAAGACTTCGTGATAAGATTAAATGAGATGTAAAAACGTGTCCATCATTTCTTCCATCGATTTTTTCCACTCCGACCTCTCTTTACCAGATTTATGATATACGTTTTCCTACATAGACTCTATAATCTTTTAACGTAAAATTGCAGTCAATTTTCTTCTCCAGAAGGCTCGTGTCGGCATGAAATTCCATGAAGACTCCAAGTTTAAGTAATGAAGCCACTCAATTATTCACCGAACCACACCATTCCATGCATAGAGAACATATCGTTAGAGCGTCTACACTGACCCAGTGGTGATAAACTGTCTATGGTGTATATACCTAGTAATAGACGAAAAGCTTTCTGCTGTTTATCGTGCGAATCACAGGATGCTTTCATCATGTAGATAAAAAATATGCATTACATGTACTTTATAAAAGATTTTCAACGTGTAGACAGAAATATGAGATATATTTTGAAAATGATTGTAGTCAGACGCCAAAAGTTTAAATGGTACATATATGACTGCACGTACTTTTGAATTTCAACTATTGTAAATTTTAAATGAGAGAAAACCAGACGTATAGACAGTGATATTACATCAATCTATGTTTAAGCAACAAGTCAGACACAAAATCCAAAGTCGATGTGTATTATCTGGATACATAAGCAGCGTTCAGCAGACATTTAATGTTAACTTGTGTGCACTTAACTAACCTCGATACAAAAGGTCAAAAATTAAAAACTTTATCCTGCAATCGTAAACAATAAAACCCAACCAAACACGGGAAATGTCACATTGAAAGAACATGAACATGCGTACAGGTTCGTTAAACATATACAATGTACTACATCAAAAAGGAAAGGTACTAATAGTTTACGTTGCGTTAAATTGGTTGTTCCCTTTTTGAAATCATTATCAATTATGTATTAATCAAGTAATTGATCAATTAGAAAGCGGCTGCTCATGATCATTTACAAAACATTGCAAAAAAGACGTTGGGGTGAACTGTAAACCGTAAACTAGGAGATAATTTGAGAAGAGATGTTCCATTCATCGCTCAAGACTACAAGTTGACGTTCACTACCCATGTCCCCAAAAAACATCGAAAATATGCTGAATTGTTGACAAAATATGTTATATCAATGACGAAACAAATAGCTGCAGTTATTCTGCTACTGTATAGTCTGTTGACGCGATTAGAGTGCGCCAGCTCATTACCTTATTGGTAAATGGTACCAAAGTCATTGGGTCTTAAGAATGGTAGAACCACCGTTTGTCTCGGTAGAATTCCTGTTAAATTTCCCACAACAACAGGATATTCAAGTAGTATTCCTCAGGCAATATATGATAACGTGACACTTTGATAAAAAATACAAAATATACCTTAATTTCAATAATTAATTTCGTCAAAATATTTTTGATAATTTAAGAAAACTATCGAACTGCTACGAGGAAGAATAACGTCTATATTTGTTCTCATTTTGAAATTGTCATGAAGTGTGTTGTGACCTTTCTCAGTATGTATTCATGACATCATGAACTTAGCAAAGAAGCAACTGTACATCAGAATAATTCAGGTGGCTCTCTTGATCTTGTTCGATATTTTCATTTTTAGGCAGTGAAAGGTTAACAAATAATTGCTTGCCATTTTATAGCAGACTATAACATGTGTAAGGTCTCACGCAGTTATGCATATATCACCATGGAAACAAATTTGTTCTGCTAATTTAGACAATGTCATATTGTGATTTATCTTTAATTATATATATATATACATATTATGTATCTTTATCCAGCTATATTTCCGCAATTCTGGAGCAAATTTGATAACTTTTATCTACAGTCCATCATCAAACAAGATATGTAAAGGATGTTTTCGTTTTCTCGGATAAGTGTTATTCTTTGGTCCAACTTGAGTAGAAATTGAAATATTTTGTAACATAAACTGTTACAGTTTTTTTCGTATATGCAAAAGCGTCATTTGACTTCATTCATTTACATATATATGCCAGGGAAACGTGCTAATCTTTCTTTGTCTTATGTATACTTGTTCGCAGTTCAAAAATATACACTAGAATTGCTTTAATTGCCTACATTTCATCATATAAAGTGGCATATAATAGCATGAAAGACAAACGGTAAGACTTTTCATCTTAAATCACCGTGCTGCTGCACTGTGAAGATACACATAAGCTATTCAATTGCTTGAAGTTTGTATTACATTCTAGAAACAACCGGCCTAAAATGTGTTACAATAGCCTCTAGAAATATTACGTTATTATACTAACAGTATACACGGCATACAACGGTTTCTTTTAGCAGGTATGCTTCAGGCAAAAAAGAGAGGAAATCCTGAAAAGAACATCGTTAGACTGTCCCGCTACCCAGTCACAACTAATCTGATAGTCACACTATCCAGTCACAACGAATCTGTTTGTCTCTGTATCTAATCACCATTAATCTAGTTGTCACACTATCAAGACACCAATTATCTGGCTGTCCCACTACCCAGTCACAACTAATCTGATAGTCACACTATCCAGTCACAACTAATATGATGGTCACGCTATCCAGTCACAACTAATCTGGTTGTCTCCGTATCTAATCACCATTAACCTGGTTGCCCCACTATCTAATCACATTGCTATGGCCAGTGTTTGATACTAATTCTACATGAAACTTATGCTGTAGATTTTACTGTATGCTTGACCTTGACCTCAGTGATTTAATAACTTACAAAGATCTTTGTCATATATCAATTTTAAAGCATATTTTGAAATAATTCCCTCCCCACCCCCATGAAAAAAATTATACAAAAAGGATGGCAAACAAAGCCTGATTTACTGAATCACACAACATATAACACTGGTGACAAACAACTTGGAATGTCAGCATGTTGAAAACTTAATGATCACAAAACTAGCACACAATTATGACATATCTTATGTAACTGCATACCTGTAGAGAAGAAAAGAATTTGATACCTTCAATTGAACCAGCAAATTTATTACACACATGATGCATAATATTGAAATGCACTGATGCAAGACCTTGTAAGTTCAGCTCCTAATATTGCAGAAATCTAACTTTTTTTATGTTTACAAGAAGATTTTGTTTTCCCGTCTGCTAAGTAACTCTTACTTATGGAAACTTTACTAACAGGAACTACAGACAGATATTATAGAATTTCTCATTTTTAAAACGTGACATATGATTTAAAATTTTATTTTACATTCAGCTACTGTTACAATACAGCTTGTACCTGCCTTTAGGACAGATGTGTAGACAACATGTCTATACACATACAAAAATCAAGTATTAAGTACATGATATCTGATAAAATTGTACAAACCACGGTAACATCTTTCTACACAAATTAAGCATTAGATTTAGTATATGTGTATAGCCAAATAATCTATCAACCTTTATCCTCTATCTTGGAACCGTCAGTTATGCTCTGAGCCTTATGTCGAAATCTATCAGATGATTTAAGTGGAACTTGCAATCGTTAACTATATGTTTTGTTACAGAAAAGTATTCTGTAAAAAAAATCATTGAAAAATTCAAAACAGCCTGCGAATGACATAACCTAATTTTCCTGGTTATAAGCAGCTGCTTTTTTCTTGCCGTGCGGCTTATAAACCAGTGCGGCTTTTTGGGGGACAAAAAAATCAGCAGGATGAAACAAAATAGATAAAACATATTGTCTGAACATTGGTTGCGGACCATTATGTATTTCGGAACTTCCATAATGTCAAGGCGTATCATATGCACTATTGACCTGCATGACCTAATACCCTGATGATTTTGGTTGCTGTAACATGTCATGCTTCCAGAAAGAATGAAAAATAGTGATTTAAACCAAGGATACCAGTACACCAGTACGACACATCAGTACCAAGATTTCCACAAGTACCTGTCCATCACATGTTTGTGACTGAAGCAGATCGTCTAGAACTGTGGCAATTCCTGTCCAATTAACTTTATCTTGGTTACCGAACCAGTCTACCTTTTACAGTGAATGAGAAAACACGTGACTCATCTCGCCGCTTAAGTCTAATGTTACCGATCGGTCATGATAATGAATTATAAAACTTTATCCCCCAAAGTGTCATGAAGTGTCTGTTTCCCTCCCATAGACCCTGAAGTACAGAGAGATGATACCTGTTTGCGAGTGTTGATATTTGTCCTCAGCACACGGTGATTGAGGGGCATTGCAGGTCTGATATTGTTCATCTGCCATTCCATCCACACGCTTCTGAAAGCATTTAACTGAAAGAGATAATGTTAATTTACCTTGAAATTAGTCCAAGAGATGAATAAATAGGTGATACATAATGGTAACAAAAGTAAATATCTAAAATTATTCTTGAAATCAATTCGAAATCTGCACGAACGAACACACAAATTAATTGTATTTCTGATATTATTCATACAATAGTTTTCCTGCCTCTGCATAAGAGAGCCAAATCATTACTGAAATGAGTTGCATTATATTTGTTTATGTGTTGCCTTTGACGTATTTTCTGACTGAACACAGGAAGTGTATCTGAAGTGCATGTATTAACTACATCGTGTCTGTAATGCCTCCTTTAATTAGCACTTTAAGCTCATCATTTGGGCCTGAACTTCCTTATATATTGTGTCTCTCAATATTTCTTCTCTGAACCAGGAACTCTCCTTAGAGGTTTTTATCCTTGCGCAACATGTCACAAACACGGCATCATTCATTTAAAGGCTTATGTTTCCTTTACCTTTGTGTCTGCGTCACGGCATCAGAAGCAGTCTCTACAAAGTTTGCACTGCAGGGACTTTCCATCCACCAAAGAACCTTTTATGGACATGTTTACATACCCCGTGTTTCCCAAAGAATATTTTGTTACTGATGAGATAATGCCTGCAGTTAAAGTTTTTAAGATTTGCTTTCCCTTATTTACCAACTCCGAGAAATACTTTTGAAATGGCAAACTTATTTCCTTACCTGTTTTTCTGAAATGTATGATGGTTTATTAAATATAATCCATGTGACAGTTTCCTGACAGCTAGGTTGTGTCATCGATCCCTCGTAAGTTATGTAATGTTCCGTAAGCGGCAGAAGCTCGTCCACCGAGAACGCCGTTATCGGCACGTATGCACCTGTAAGTAATGAGAATGCCAAATGGAGTTTAGTCATTAATACAAAATGTTGATGGATCGTGGACACATTAACAAAAGTTTGCCGATTAAAGGCTATTTTTAGGGGGTGGGGTTACATCCTCAAGATATCAGATCATATACAGATCTTCTAAGAAGAAGTGGACCTTCTTCCAACTATAGTGATATGCGTGCCATTGTTCTGTCAAGGTCGTAGTTTGAAGTTTAAATCGTTATTCAATGTTTAACATCACCATTCTGAAGACTAAAATGTAGGTGAACGAACTTTTCTGACAATCTCGTGTTATCAACTTATTCAATGAAATAATAACGGTAAAGTAGTGTTTAATTTCAGAATATCGTACACTGTTGCAAAGCACTATCTACCATTGGACAGAAATTATAACATATTCACGAGATCTCTTAAAAACATCACCGAACCCTATATGATCATTGGTGATTCATGGAAAATATCTACATAATGTACATCACGTCGATAATTTCGAATGGGATATATTGCCACTGCGAAATTATCATTCACGCACAAATGCTTATTTTAAAATGATTTAGAACTACTTAATTCAAGGAGTCTCATATCTGCTCGCTTGCTTATAGTCGGGTCGTCGCCTATATATTCTCAGATTTATATCTCAACTAGAAGAGGTAAAAGTTGAATTCGGTCTTTGGAATGCGTGGGAGTTTCAAAGAGATTGTGAACATTTCGTAAATACAACAAAGTGTCAATTTCCCTAATGACCCATTAACCAGATTATAGAGTGGAGAAAGATAACGGTTCTGTCTTCATGACTGTAACAACCACAATAGAGCAGATGAAGCTCTGAGCTGCCCAGTATTCGGCTATGGTACTTGAAAGAAGTTGACAAATAAAAACCCAGGGAAAAAGTCTTAATGTGTATCTTTTATGTGCATTATCCAGCAACTGACTCGAACCTGCGGTGACTTTTAAATTGCCATTTTCTATCCAGACAAGATTATCGTTCCTAACGAAATAAATTGAGAGAATATAACGGGATCTGATGCCGTAAATGCATTATAAGGGAGGTGTAGTGTACATGTACAGTGTATTGATTCATCCAGTGTCATTGAAAGTGATGGTGCGATGGCACAGAGGGATCTACCAGCAGACATACGACAATCTGTATAGAAGTTTAACGACCATTTAACGACCTTATTCTAATCAATTATCTTTCAAGACAGGATTATAGTTTTATCAATGACAATTTTTTAATAAATTAAATATTCACAAATGTGAACCGCATCTCCAAGGATTTGCAACGTATGGTACCAAGGTCATGAACTGCTTGACCCCTCTGCTCCCGACATCTGAGATTAAGTAGAAGAAAAGTTTAACTCGATTTTGACGAATACCTTAGGGAGAGGTAATAGGAATTAATAGTTATACAATAAAACGCTCTTACGTTCAAGTCACCGAATTTATATCTCTCGAAGGTAACTGCGCAGAGTATATTGGAACCAATTATCTTCAGATGGGTCGTAGTGTTGTTAAGATTTTCTGCAACAGTAGGGAAATGCCGATTGCAGCACGCGGGTAGGTCATGTCAGCAAAGGCGAGTCTGACCAGGAAATGTCACGTGTCGGGTATAAATGTAGGCTGTTTTAAATAACGAACGTCGTAGTTTGCTCATGCAATGATCAAATTGTTCCTTTGAGTGTTGTTTGACCAGATGCAGGTAAAATGTTATCGAAGTTTGACATCTCAGGGTCATTTCATCTCTTTTAAGATAACTGACTGACAGTGTCGCAGTCCCAATCTCTTAGGTAAACATTTATCTGAATATAAGCACTATTTTGCTATGTAGTACTCCTTTATATTGAAATGCTATCAAAACGCCGCTTTGGCGAAATCATATTCATAGTCACAGATGCCTAGTGTATACAACAGTTTAACTAATATTTTTGCAAAATGATTTACGTTATTTCACGCCGTCTTGAAATTAACACAATTTAGCCTAAAATCCAGGCTTAACGTATTGGTAAAACCACAAAATTATGTATGTATGACAGCAAGTCATGGACAGACGAAGAGAACGATGTTACAATGCTATATAACAATGTTAATTTCCTCGATATCAAGTCCATAAGACACAATTCTTTGTTCCATGGTGATGCTGTCTTTTTTGTCAGCACGCGATTCAAATAAACAATTACTGACGGTGAACTACTGGACATGACAAACATAACTTACCTCTTTCCCAGGCTAAGTCGTCTAACTTGGTTGTAAGTGCATCTAAAGCTGAGTTTTCATCTGTCTTTTCTGACGCTATCTGAAAACATCCAGTAATATAAGACTTACTGTGAAATAATATATATTTGTGTAAATCTCATTTCGTTGTTTCTGTAATACAATTACTTTTTCTTGGGCACTTAATTTAATGGATAAGCGGTACTCAAGAAATTTTAAAATTCTGAAAATCGTGAATTTCTATTACTTTTTCCATGATAATTTGAGGGCATATGAATCAATTATGAGAACAAACGATTTATCAACATAATATGATTCAATTGAATGACATGAAATTATACTCAAATAATAGATCACTGTAATGACACATTAAAACATTGAATGATCCGGTCGTCTGGTAACACTGATGCCAGTAGTGACTTACATCTTAGAAGCTAAATTTGGTATATTCTTCTCACTTTACGACTTCCAAAATTATAGCTTCTTATAATAAAAAGAGCTAGTTCGTGACTAATAATCTACCGACGTACTGTTTCAACATCCGTGCGACAGCGGGAAAATGGTTTCCAAGAAGACTTTATGACGTTGTTAGGGCAACATTAGTGACATTTGTGACGGACACTACTTCGATTCTGCCGTATTTAATTCGGAAGCTTTAAAAGTTTTGTCTGGCCCTACTTGGACACCGAAGTAATATACTTCCTTCACATGTTACTGATCTTTGGCACTTTACCACAAATCCTGGTTTTGGTCTACTGGCTACGCAAGAAGACCAAACGAGATGCATTTCAGCTATATTGACAGATGCTGACGGCATTCATGATAGCTATATCTTGTGATCTAGTGTGTTTGGTGTAGAAGTTGCAGTTAAAATTGACCTTTCTCTTGCTGGTGTAAATTTCACGGTTGATAGCATTAGATTGCCATCATGGTTAACTCAATAAATAACTCAGGCGTATTAGCATGCATAAAGCAAAACATGCTTCGCTTTTTGTTTCTTATCTCCTATTTCATTCGGAAATTAGTATTGTTTACTTAAGTAAATATACTGGTGTCAATACTTGGAAAGTCCTGAAAAAGATGGAGGTCCCTGATCCCAGTCAAGCCAGAATCATATCTGTAGAAATTTCTAAATACCGACGAAGACATATACTCAGGATTTTGCTTGATATCCGTATGTAAAATGTCTCAGACAACACAAGTGACAATATTGCATGAAATGAAATCCAGCATTTGAAATATACACAAACAAACATTAAGGTGTACTACATTTGTAATGAAACATAGTAGATTGAACATTTACTTATTTTTGAGATTTTCTTATCTAATGTTTGTTGCCTATGTTAACTGCATAATTGTAACCAATTACACCCCTTTAATACAAATACGACTTTCTCTATCGCTGATACAAATAACAACATGTCAACAAAGTCGTGATTTTAACTCAAAGTCAAGAAAATCAGAACAGAATCTAAAAAAGAATTATTTATACAGATAACCTTGAAAAAAGAAGCAAAAAAAAAAACTTGTTACACCATTCATCAATTAACCGTTAGTCTCTTGAAAATACCAGCACTGTATCTTAATATATTCGTATGTTCATATATATCTTTATACACCATTGAGTGAAATCCCCTTTGTGCTGAATTTATGACACAAATGTGTCCTCTGTGATCTGTGTAAGTGTGATTAAATTTTAACTGAGAGAAAAAAAAATGAAAACAAAAAATGAGCCATAAAGAATGTTCTCTATATTCTTGGGCTGAGTTCTGCTGACATGTTTATTTACAGTGGAGGTGACAATAGACGGCGATTTAAGACATTTGATTCCAAATAATATTTTGACTACTGAACTATAGTAGCTATTGTCATTTCTCACAAGGCATGTACATTCCCTTTTCTGTGAATACAGGGAATTAATTCATCACCTCAGTATTAAGATATAATATATGAATTTTATCACCTGAACTCCTGATGGTTTACAACACTGCACGAAACGATTTTCATATGACAATATTTACAACTGCTACTGAATCGATAGCTAGTTTATGTCTCAATACCTTGAGGATAGAACGTTAGCTAATTAACCAGCTCTCGAAATAGCACGAATCACTTTCAAACATCCTCCCAGGTCATTGATATTTCCTACTTATTTTTCAACAGTACCTCGTTTTCATATAATCATATATTGATTTATTTCATTCCCTTCTTAAATCTAATTATGATATATCGTGATAAGTAAAAAAGGGATATTTTATATGCATAAGATTATAGAAATGCATATTTTTGTGTTGTCGGGAAGAAAATAGGCAGACTTCAGCAATCAGTCAAAGACTTATGAATGGCTGTTCATTTGAATTAACATGAAATCGAAATAATTTTGAACATCGATTACACAAGATTTTTCAAGATGTTTGTCTCTAAATTTTGCATGTTGCTATTTTTCAAAGGAAATATTGTAAATAAAACGATAAACTGTTTATTTTGCTTAGCTTATTTGATAATAAATCCATTTGAGTAGTAGGCAAAATGTTCGTAAATGTTATTTACCTCGTTCCCCATTTCATCAATATTCTGCTCACCTAACAAACTAAAATACTAATCCTTAGATATGCCTGAACACCTGTATTCAAACTCTGAATGGCATCATCCTTGATGTAGGTGTTTCTTTTTCAGAATGCTAAATGATTCTCTATTAATGAGGTCTTTCATACTTTTACCTTGTGGTATCTTTCGGCGAAGTTATACTCTTTAAAACATCAATTCAAAGCTGAATAATAGATATTTTTAAATATAATCGTGCTTTTCCTGAATAGAAGAACGGGCATCTACCCAAAAACAGCGGGCCTATTGCTATATATGATAAAGATGGACAATGTCGGAGATTTTGGTACCCCTAGAATGTATGCATAAAGAAAGTAGACTCCATGACTTTAAATCATACACTGCCCGTCATCAATGGCGGCCTCGTCTGCTACAAAAACCGTATACCGCAATTGAGTTGAGTAATATTCCAGTAAGAGGTTGAAGTAATTCCATATTCACTATGTCAATATAAACAAAATGTATGAGCGCCTAACGTGGCAAGAATGAGTAAACATCTCCCCCACAGGCCTATTTCTGTACCTCTATGGATGAGGGGAACGAAAGTGAGTTTTACTGGTCAATCTTCATTACCACTAGACGGTCAGGAAGATGGTCATTTTAACGCAGACTTAATAGGACACGCCAAGGTTATAAAAAGTGGCTTTAAACACCTTGTCTTCAGTTCATGACATTTTCTTATATTGAACGGTTTGCCCTATATCATCAGTTTGCAATGATTGTCTCCCTTGTTTGCTCTCGTTTTTTCAGAAATATACATACTATCACATAAAGGAAAATCGCACTTAATCCGATTGATTGATCATTTGAAACAATAGCATCAAAATCAAAGAATTGATTGTATTTTTTTTTTAGAAAATAGAAAAAAAAACAATGAGACAGTATTGAGATTATCTTGTTATTGAAATGTGTATATCAAGATTTTGTCAGCCTTAATATATTGTCATCACAGATCAGAGATACGTTATGCTGACAACGTTCTAACAAATAAAACAAGGCAATGTGGAAACTTGTTATTAATTTCATCCACAAACAAGGTCCTTCTAGACTAGATCTTATTATGAGATGAATCAGAAGTTGCCTTTAAATGACTATCTAATTACTCGAGTTAATAGAGTCTGTTCTATTATACGCCTAATCACAAGTCAAGGTTATGAGAAGATGCCGAATACGGATGATGGATAAATTCGCGAATTTTGAGGTCAATTTTATAGTGTAATCACTATGGAATGTCATAACCATTTCACGACACCATGACACGCTTTCCAGCGTCAAAAATGTCAACGGTCTATTTGCTTGCTGGGTTTATTGCACCGTGATCAAGCGATACCACTTTGAAGCGTAGTCTCCGTGTAGTAGCTGGTTGCTAGCTCACAGTACAACATACGGGAGATCTGTTGCACTTAATCCAAACCAATGAAGTTTAAGTACTGAATATACCTAGTCAATCAGAAATTTCAAAAGAAACGTCGAATAATACAAATAAAACAAAAGAGGAAGTAATAGAAAATTTCCTAACTACATAAATCATTCTTTCTTTTCAGAGTCTTTTTATGCCTACGAGAAATCGAAACGTCAAAACACCTGTTACAGTAACTCGCAATTTGTTGTAATTACTAAAGAGAACGTCAGTCTGGTTTTATGATACATTGACAAAGTTTGGTTCGTTTTCATCATTTAATGTATTGTTGTCGGTACCGTAGACATTTTGTATTCGGAATATATAAAGTTATGTTAAATTATCTTTGAACATTTTGTTTCTTCCAGGTTTTAAAACCTAAAAGCAGGATTAATCTAAATTAAATTGATTAGTTTCTCCAATTATATTTCTCCTGTGAGCATGTAAAAATAGAAATGTAACAAATCCATTCAACTGCGGTAAAAATGGTATCTTACAGTATTTCTATGTGATTTTCGTTATTATTAAGCTTAATTGCTATGTTCTCGACCTAGCTCAAGGTGGAAGAATACATAATTACATTAGACAATTTAAATGGGAAGATAAAATATTTGAAAATATTTGGAAAGGTTTTTATTTCACATTTATTGTAAAATCGTGCTGTAAAACACACATTATCCCGACCATATCACACACTTGGAGTGACGTTTCTAGTTGATGTACTTTTAGAGTGCCTTTATGTCGTCCAAGCACGCAGAATCACAAACATGGAAAATGTCGTTGATGGGAGTGTGTGAGTTGTCGTAAACCTTCCCTGTGAATCAAGCAGAGCTATCAGAAACTATAATTGATGGTAGTTCCGTATCTGTGACGTCTGCCGTAGACAGGCTTTCAGGGTTCAGGTCAATGCGAGATATGGGAATGGCATATCACGTAAACTGAAGTAACGGACACAGGTTTGTATCAAAATTGGAAAATCGGATGCAACAAAGTACATCACGTGACAGCTCTCGAAAAAACATCCTTAAAAGAGTGAAAGGGCATCCTTTACATATGCGTGAGAACGAAATCTCTGTAATATGAATTTCCTTGGAATTTTTTTTATTACATTCAGCGAATAAAACATTTTAAGTCGAATACATTATATCCTGAACTAACAGGTATATGTAAATACATGAATTGTAACCAAATATACTTACCTCGAGAAAAGTCGAGATGACTACAATTCCATTGGATGAATTTTCGGCACGCGACATATTTTCATAAAGATCACCATTGTATCCAATCATTTGAAGCTGAAAAATTAACAAATATATTTATATATATATGTAATTCAGTTGTCATTTAATTTCTTTTCAAAATTTATGTCTTCGCTACATCTAAGGTAATGTGTTCAGCTACGTGCAGGATACTCGGTAATGACAACTCAGCCTAAACATATCTTTTCCTCTTCTTAGTAATATATCTTGCACCAAGATGAGTCTTAGATTACATCGATTTATTTAGTTCTAGTAACAAAAATCCTTAAAGAAGACGTCTGAACTGATATAATTGCAAACTAATCAATTTTGGCAAACTGTTGATAACCACAACATCCATTTCAAAACAAGAAAATATCAACTTATCAACATGATTATAATCCAAACTCAACTAGGGCAAAATATGAACAAAAGAAAGATTTACACGAAGACTCCTGAATAAGTACAAGGATAATAGGACCAGGTGTTCCGAAAGAGTAAGTGTCGTCTGTTTCATCAACGACACACGCCATGTAAACATTGGCCAATTCAAGTAAGTAATGTCACGTTCTCAAATGAGAACAAAGTATAGTTACTATGACGATCGTAGTATTTCATTTTATGAAATATGGATTATGACTTCATCTATATAATTTCTTACATGAATATTCATTTCGTATCAGATTTAGGTAACAGTTTTAAGCAAGCTAAACTAAAAAAAACAAAGGCAGAAATAAATTGGTATCCCTTTTATCACCATGATCAAAAGTTAAATGGTTAATGCGCACAAGTAAGGATTTCATAGGAAGAAAAGTGTACAAAATCGTCTACTTAGGTTCTTATGAAAATCGTACGCGTCAATTTGAAAAAAATATATTATCTAATTTTTGGAAATTCTTCATAGATCTAGCTAGATCAATTTACATACGTTCTCGCAGTCCCCTGATTGTGTCATAACATGTTCGCGTTGTTATTAGCCGAACAGAATGAAATATTTGTGTAAATTATAAAATCAACAAAAATAAACATGATAAAGTAATAAAACTGCAACCTCAGCGGAAACAACATACACACTTGTACATTTACCCAATATTCTGTATAAACTCTATGAACCAGTGACCTCTTCAGTTCCGAATTGCCTTATGCGCTATATTTAGGCCGTTAAATTTATATCGGCTATAACTAGTTCCACCAATTTCGCCTTTCCAAACTGACCACAGGAGAGATATTTTGATGCTAATAATAGTATGAAAAGACACTAGAATCAGTTCATAACAAAACGACCAAATTGTTTTCGCGGAAATTCCTTCTCAAAGTACACTAATCTTGCTGTACACATTTTTGTTTCAAGTATGAGGTAGTCTTCTTTGCGATTGTCTGAATATCCCTGCTGTATTTTATCACGGGCATTTATTCGACAGAATAAATTCATTAATTAACTTAGGTATTACATTTAAAGCCTACGTCATTGATCTTCATTGTGAAGTCACGATGAAATCAGTGCATGTATGGCGTCTTTACTCTTTGCAATCCTGACGTCACAAAATGCTTTACAATGTAACATCATAAATAGATATTACAGTGAAGACAGGGAACGATTTTATTTTGATGTGTGACGATAACCAAGACTGATCTGTTTACTGTCACCGTAACAGCATATTGGTCTCAAAATGATTCATTTCCATACAATTTTAGACGATAGTCACCTCAGGCCCATGTTTTCCTACTAGTGCATTGAATCTGGAATACTACCAGGCATGTTTATTTATTGTGGTGCTCAGCATACTCTGAACAGTGAAGCTTATATGAAATATGGCATAGCTGGTATAAGAAAACGTCTGTGTTCAATCAAAGTCATTTCATTCGATACTAAATTAGGAATTAGTTATCAAAATATTAATATTGTGGCGGGGGAAAAGGTATTGTGGCGTAGTACGTTTCTGCAACTGGGATTAGACGGATATTCTGGCTGGAAATGGTTTTTAGTGCAAGCAGCAAAATAACAACAAAAGCGAGCGAATTTACTGTGTCAAATTATGTTAGAGTCACTATTTAACACTATACTGATGTTTGAGGCAAATGCTATAACCAAAATGGTAACAGCAATTATATCTTTTGTGTTTATGGCGAATGAACACAAGGACATTTCCAAACTTGCAGATATATTTCTCGATAGACTGTAATATCACTAACAAAAAACACAGCTGTTAAGGGCTCTCCGCGTTACACCTTCATTAACAACAACAGCAAAACCTTGTTTGTTGATCGAATTACGTCAAGCTAGTTATCTCAATTTATAGATGAAACCATTGTCGTTCGTAACGTTGCATGTTCTTTATTATTCTCAAATCTAATGCATAATTCCATCCAGTAAAATACGCCGTCTGTAATTTAGAGCTGGGAGTCTTCAAGATAATCTACTACACAAAAAATACCCCATCATTTACTGCTGATTAACGGAAATGACGTTTCTTCGCATTAATCAGTTAAGACTTGGAAAACACTCTTTCTATCAATAAATGATCTTCGTGTATGACGGAAGTAATCTAACTATGTTCTGTATTCGTCGATATTTTCTGTCTTTACTGCTAACTAAAGCTGACGTACGATAACATCGAGACCATATACAACGATTTGTTGATTGCCTTTTATCGAGAAAGAATATTACTGTTTTATAGCCGATGTCGACATATCGGTACGTTTATTGTACTGCGCAATCAATTATGATAAACCTTCTCTTCATAGAAAGATGTCGAATACACCTAAACATGTGCGACGTACATTGTATTGACATGAGTGAACTGCACGAGTAAATAACACCCAGTGTGTATATTTAGTAAGAACTACAGGATCAGGGTATGTCGAATTATGCATCAAACGGCATCATACACGTGCATCAGCGTCGTCCTTCTCGGTCTCATCAGTGATGTCGAGGATACATAATGTGCATATCTACAGGATAATTAAGGAACTCCAAAGCTGACAAAACATGTACTAAAACATCAATGGGGATGTGCACTTTGCTCTTCACGTAAGAAATAAATGTCAAGTTCGGTTTAGTACACTTAATCGTGTCATCATTCATGTTGATCTAAATTGATATGTTTCAGTATAATGACAAAAGCAACATCTTAATCAGGTTTGATTAAATTAATTAGATCAATTATACGTACATAACAGGTAAGTTATAGGAAAATAACAGGTTAATAACAGGTAAATAACAGACAAATGACAGGCAAAAACCAGGTAAATAACAGGTAAATAACAGACAAATGACAGGCAAAACACAGGTAAATATTAGGTAAATAACAGGTAACTAACAGACAAATGACAGGCAAAAAACAGGTAAATAATAGGTAAATAACAGGTTAATAACAGGTAAATAATAGGTAAATAATAGGAAAATAACAGGTAAATAAAAGGTAAATAATAGGTAAATGATAGGTAAATAAAAGGTAATTAACAGGTAAATAGCAAACAATAACGCACTCGCTGTCTAAATTATTTCCGCATTAAAGCAATGAGTTTTTTCAGTGCAGCGTCCATGTTTGCCAACGAGATATAACTTCGGGTTTCAATCATCTCTCAAAAATGGTCATATGAGGATTGTCAAAATATATGAATTGGGACATATTTCGGATTGTTTTGTATCCGTATCCAATTATAGACAAATCTTGTTTTATTCAATATATTTACATATTGAGTATATGGTGATAATTTCCTTCTTGATATCCAAGTGGTATTGCTTGACCGCTATAGAATGGTCCCTAAATCACCTTTTTGTGTTAGATATCGATAGCAAGTATAAAAACCCACAAAATCTTTTTATGATACGGGTTGGTGAAAGCCACAGGTGAGCTTTTCTATCTGATCTTCATTTCTTTGGAAATAAACATTGTTCTATTCGAATTTTAGTAGTTAATTCACATTGGTAATACGAACTTTCATTTCACTAGTCTTAGAGTTGTTGGACCATGAGTAATTTACATCTAGCGTATTCTTTGTTCTTGTTTGTTTGTTTGTTTTACTATTTTATTTTATTTTCCCTCTCCGATATCCTTTGAGAAAGAGCCTCTCAATGTGTATCACTTCAAAAAAGTTTCATAGTGCACACTTACAGCAGACTTGCCCATCAAATATAGTAAAATACTTCCTTCCTTTCAGTATTAACTTGAGGTTTCTTAAACGACCAACTCTTAAAAAGATATTATTACTAATATTGCAACGATTCGTCTGTGTCCTCTCTAACGAATTCTTATTCTAAATATATCAACAGTTAATGTCCTTTCAAATATTCTGTAGTTCCTGGCGGCTTAACCAGATTGTTGTATGAAGCAATGTCATAACTTGTCTCTGTGTTTTATTATAGGCAAACACAGACATTTCTGTCTGGTGCTCAAGACTTTTAAAGAACTGAACCCAATTATCTGGTACCGGCTGAAGGTTGAAGTGTTCAACATTGTGTGAAGTGTGTGAATATAAGTCTGAAAATAGCTACATATATAGTTCAGCGCGCTTGGCCTGCAAAGATCTGTTTTGTTACATCCTAAGAAATAACCACACCTGTTTGTCTGCAACTTTATTTGATTTTAACAGCATAAAGATTTTGCTTTAGAGCTTTTACACCGTACCTTTTTTTCAAAATATTAAGAAAAAATAATCGAAAAATTTGTTAACATTTTGTATATGTAAAAAAAAATGTAAATATAAATTTGAAGAAAAGAGTATGTCAATAAATTCTCCCCAATGAAATTTTTGTTTTTGCTTTTTGTGGTTTTTGCTTTATTTTGTTTTGGGATTTTTTATTTTTATCTTTTTTATGTTTTTGTCATTTACTTTCAGCCTAGTTGAATCTTTTTTCAGTTATAAAATAAGCTAAAAGACGTAATATGGTAAGGTGAGAAATGTACAGTATACTATAAATTCGGAACGTAAAAAGAGAAAAAGAAAGACACAATGTAAAAATGAATCGTTCAAAATCATCTTCTACCGGGAAAAGGGTAAGAAGTGGCTCACATACACACCGACCCCTCGGTCGTCAAGGGTGACCATGGACCATGTGACATTACAGGTATGACGTGAACAAATTAATTCAGAGGTTCATAATGTAGTTTAATCATCACAAAGCTATAAGAGACTCACATTCAGTGATTACTTTATTCCAACATGGGTGGGAAAGAATTAAACGAGAATAAGGTAAACAACATCGATTATTCTTAATTCTTATCTGATTAAAAACAAAAAGCATCAAACAAATGTCATATCACGAAAGAAACAGTCCTCCAATGTGTCACTCAGATGGATACAAGTATGTATAAGATTGACGCTTGTATCACGTGCAGTAAAGAAGACGTTTCACGCCAACATTTAAAATTATTGATTTTGTTTGATATATCGTGTTACGCGGATTGTACACATAGCGGTATTATTGTACAGTAGCGTGCGTGCCTCCGCAGACAGAGTTGTTAAATGTTGAACATCCTCGTTCGATTTTCCTTCAATTCAAATGATAGATTGTAAATACATTGTAACAGGATCTGAAATTAAAAACCAGAAACATTTTTGTCTCCTCCATCTTCCGTATTTCTATTTATTTGTTTCGCTATTCAGTTCTGTTGCCTCATTCCAGTAGTGTCTCGTGTTTGGCCTGGCCATACATGGTAGAAGAATTGCTTACATACCAGTATAATGAAACCCAACAAAGGTTGCATGACGCTTATAAATTGTATTGGGAACATAAAACTTTATTATTTCCGAGCGGTAATTGGTTTGTGCAAAATGTTGGAGTTTGGTGTCTGGGAAATAGTATATTTCAATAATAACATAGTCAGGTTATTAATGCAAGGGATAAATATACACTATGGAATAATTTGGTGATTGGGATACAACACTGAGCAATGCCTCTATTGATGAAATCTACCATTGTTTGTTATTTAGAGTAGGTGAATACATTGTACTGTTAATTGTTATTATAAGGTGGTGAATATAGTGTACCATTAATTGTTATTATAAGGTGGTGAATATAGTGTACTATAAGGTGGGGAATATAGTGTACCATTAATTGTTATTATAAGGTGGGGAATATAGTGTACTATAAGGTGGTGAATATAGTGTACCATTAATTGTTATTATAAGGTGGTGAATATAGTGTACTATAAGGTGGTGAATATATTGTACCATTAATTGTTATTATAAGGTGGTGAATATAGTGTACCATTATTTGTTATGTAGAGCAGGTCAATACAATGTGATTGTGGTCGAAATACCCTTAATTCGCTAATGTTTGGCTGATAAAAGCAAAACATTCTGAAGTGATTCAAGTGGTTGCGTATTGTCGAGAGTGATCTTTGTACTGAAAAAAAAAACCAACAGATTTAAACGACCCCCTGTAGCCTTTCTTCCTCTCCTTTGTTAGAGATCGACGTGTCATGCTTACCACTGTATCTCTCAAGTAAAAATACTCGAGTTTACTCTATACCTCCAATTCCCTGGTCTGTTATTTGTTGGTGTTCATGGCAACTAATGTTACATGCAGCTATGTGTGTGTTTTTCTTTCTTTTTTTTTTTTTTTTTTCCTTTCTTTATTTATGAAATCCGCTTGTCAGAGGCTGTGGTGTGAACAATTGTGTCACTAGTTACATTTCACGATTGTAATATTCGCGTCCAGATTTAGCGAAAATTACATGCACGCGCAAAAACCTGTTATACGGTAACACTAATTAATTATCTTAGTTATCTGTTAATGTTTAATGTCTTTGCATCGTAGCTACATACTTTTGTATAGTAAATATCATCAGATGGTCCTGTTCTAAATTCACGTCATTTTTTTCAATCGAGAATGTTTAAATATATGTATAGATATGAATGTATGATATAATGATATTTTTTCTCATTTGAGAAATCGTATTATTAGTTGATATCAAAGACACCATAATGCTATCATAATGTACTGTTAGATAATGCCTGTGATTTAAGCTTCCTTTGGAAGACTTTGAATCCCTGAATTTTAAAAGACGATAATTGATCATTTTCATGACTTAACTTATAAATGTTTCTTTTTATAATGAAATAATTACTGCGCTCTGATTAAGGACACTAATTGTATACCGTTTTATGCGACCTTAGCCGTGTCGACGACAAAAGCTACAGAACCAACAAATTGCTTTCTTTTAAACTGTGGTGATTCGGTTTCTGAACAAATATAATACTTATAAAAAATTCAAGAATCCTTTTTTCTGAAAAACATCTGCTCCAATACCCCAAACAGGAAAAATGTTGAGTTCGTTGAAATGTTATTAGCAATAATACCCCATAGAATATCATGACGTCATTAATGCATTACTCAGTACCCGTATGTGTTTGTCTATGATTCGTATGAAGAATACACCGTGCTAAATTTTTTCTTCCGGGAATCTACACCTGATTCTCCGAAACAGGAAACGAAATTATCTGACGCTATGTCTAAGTATATCAACCCTCCCGAGATGAAATCTGATATAATGAAATAAAAAAAACAGGCATGGCATTTTCTCCTTCTTTCCATTTATAATCGCATTTATCACAAGACATGCAGCATCCATTAGGTTAATCTTAGATTATGTGCGTACTGATGTTTCCTATTAGTATGCATGTGTTGCAAAAATAAGAGGTCTAGTGATATTCATTTTCTTAAGAAGACACTATCAAAACCGTCAATATGAAGAAAAAAAAGAATAAAACAGAGCATTCAGAAATATAGATATTTGTTCATCCCTCCTGAAATCTTTTGCAGTGAGTCAATCTTCGTCACCTGAAACAGGGCTTTACCGAACAGATTGGATTATTATTGGAATCTAAACTGTGTTTAAATTAGAACTGTCATACAAGTATAATGCAGACACTTTATCTGCAGCTCAAACTGCATAATAGTGAAAGTCGTCAATACTTTAGATAATTGTCTTTTTTCTCCTATTTAACAAGAGATCCCAGAGGGATCTTGCAGCATTGTATGATTTTTATTTGATCTCCTAACGTTGGATAATTCCTGTTATTCTCTTTATTTCCTGAAATTTAAGAATGTCTTCAGGAACCAGCACTAGCAATCATTTCCTGTCAAAATACAGATAGTCGCCTGACAGTCATTTTGTTTTTATAATCAGTCCAAAAATCTATAAGGCCCAACAAAGGATTAAGGGAAACTACATAAGATATTTGTAATCCTTATAGTACTTCTCAAAAACTAACGATGATATTGTTAAAGGTCGGATGATGGACGCATTGATATTGGGTTAAAAGCATGCTTTCTGCCTAATGTTTGTCTTGCCAATACCTCATTTCAAACATTACACGCCAAAAAGTCGTCAAAAAGCTATGCAATACCAATGACAATAAAATGGCACTTCATACTCCCTGCTTGTCTTTCAGAGCAATCGGATCTTACAGGTTACAGAATAAGCTGCAGGTCAACAACAACACAATAGTACACCTACGAGATCATATTTCTTTCAAGTTTCCGAAATCAAACGAGGTCTTATGAAGACGATGGCCGTGGACAATGGGTCAACCCAAGGACCATGTTTATCGTTGAATCACACTACAATGTCAAATCGGGAATAACATTGGACTAACATGTCGTTAAGCTAATTTAAGTTGAGCGACGAGCAGGAAGTAGAACCTATAGTAGAGCACCAATCGCATAGTTCTGATTTTTTCCAGTGAAGAAACAGTCGCCACACGTTCCTTGTAAAACAGGATCAGTGTCAAAGTTTTTGTTAGGAAGGAAACTTTGGTTAAAAAAGAAGATAGGTTAAGGATTACCAATAAAATCACTCTTGTAAATTTTGATAATTGGAAAATAATGTATAAGCTTTCCCACAAAGCCATCCCCTCTTCACGAGGAGTAAGCCTATATCCTAACGAGACGCTTGAATGAAATGCTTGAAAAAATTATGTGTATTGTTGCAGTAGATCTATCTAGATGATATCCAATGCCTTATTCTTGTTGCCATGAAATAAAAAAAAAACTTTACCTCAGCGGGAAAAGACCGTCCAGCTATGCGATGTTCCGATCCGTTTACATCCACTTTGCTGTAATGGAACTTTAATGACGTCACATGGTACACATATGACAGAGGGCCCTGACTGATATTGACATGATTTACGAAGTCAGGATCTAGAAACAATGTGATGTCATTTCCGGTGTTAGTGAGTCTTCCATTTACCTAGAACACAAACGTTTGAATGTATGAGATCAGTTGTCATATATTAAAGGATTAATTTAAATTTGTATTATTTTCTTGACGAAGATAATTGGGGGAGGAACTGAGAGTAAGCGAGAGATTCATGCATCTTTTGATACAAATCTTTTAACATGAATCAGCATTTCATAACATTTCTTTAGATTTCAACTTACCGGAACGGACTCCACCTTCACGTGTTTAAGATTGGGATCGAACAGTAACATATCTGGGTGGATGTCTATCGGAGACTGTTGTTTACCGTTACTGCACATCTTGTAAGGACCCATCCTGCCCCACATCTCTGGACCTGTAAATAAATAAAGTATAGCATAGCCGTTATTGCCTTTTTCGAGAATTTGCGTTCTCGTGACCGTCAAAAGTCATCGGACAAGAAAGTTCCTTTTAGAGTGTAAAGCACGTCCGAGTTTTAACCTCGGAAGCTAGTTGATATTTCAGTGAGGGATTCTGTATTTCGGAAGGTGAAGGTAAATTGGAGCAAAGGAGGTTTATTGAAGAGTGGCTTGGTGGGTTGAGCAGACAAAATGAGCCAGGAAGAAAACTATAGAGATTTAAACATGGAGACAGATATTAGATTTTTCAATACCGATATAATCGTGAATTGGTGAAAAAAAATATGTTTTTCGGTGTAAATTCCCTGGTGATTGCAAACACACAACGTCTTTCACATCGAGACTTAATGATGACAACTGACAAGCAAGGTCGATTTGAATGTGTCGTTGCGTTAGTGAAGTGTTCTCTTTTCTTTAAATCACTTCGTGTTTACGAAGGCTACAGTTTAACAGAAAACATGACCACCTGACATCTTGACAAGCTTTAACGTTTTTACTAAACAGCAATGTTGGAGTATGACACGAGATCATGACAATCATAATCATTATTTCATGATATACACTACAATTTGACGCAGTAATCGACAAACGGTGTAACTTGACCACATATTGATAACAAACTTGTCATATGATAAGCGTTAACATAGTCTGGACAATTTCCAGTGAGTTTATAAGTTTCAATCTTGATTAACGGGAAATGCGCAAGCAAATGAGAAAGTGCAATACATGTCAAGCTTCAATCATTTTTAATCAAAATTGCCGATAGCAAAAGCCATATCGAATACCAGACAAGACTCAAACATATATGTACTCTATAAAAAGATGGAATTAATCAATTTTTGGTTTATCTAACATGAAAAAGAAATAAAAACGGATGTATCTATTTCAAGTAAACAAGATCGATTGACCAAATTCATATTCTTAACAAATTTATTTGCCAGCAAAACGCTTGTACAGCTCCTTTATCAATAGAATAATAATTTCATAACGGAACCGAAAACTCTGCAATCTATGTATTGCATAAATTCGAATTTCATCCATGAAGAAGATTACTTTGCAGCTCAGAGCGACAACCGCTAACTTAAAATGGTATCACTTTACAGTGAGAATGGCACGAAGATCTCTATGGAATACTTTCTTGCCTCGCTGTATATCCGATTGTCTCGTATGTTAAAAGTGTACCGCGTCGGTGACAAATTGTTGTCTGTCTTCTCCATAGCTCTCATGATTTCAACACAAATATCATTCAGTGTGCATTATATCCGAATTATCCAGGTCGTTTCGAAAATAAGCTGTAAAGATGAACTTTGTATTCTGTGAAAAATACACATCCGATTTCTTCAATAGGTACAATTCTTATCTAAGTTATTCATGAATGTAGTATGTCTGATCGGTCCGTCCTCATTTCTAACATGACATTATGGACTTGGATCGACCAACATGGTGGGTGTCGCCAAAATAGAACACAGACTCCTAACCGTCCGTGTGCTTTTTCAAGAGTATACATGTAAAGCGTTCTTTTGTCAATATTTTCCTTAGCTTAATCGAATTTGGATTTTACTAAAGACTAAACTAAAATGTCGGTATTTTCTTCGTCGTTTTGATCACGTGATTTTTTTTTTTTTTTTTCGAATATTATATTTTAATATGTTTAAACAGAAACAAATCAACTTTGTAAACCGTATTTAACATTTCAATAAATGAAATGAATTAAGAGTTTAGCTTTTTGGTATTCTTACTGTTTAGACATTCTCTTCATATACTTCTATTTATATAGCAGAAAAAAAGTGTGGCCTAACTTAAATTGTGTTAGTATATTGCGATTTCAATCGATCTGAATAAAATTTACATTCCTGTCGACGCCGCCTTGTGAATACAACGTCGTGTGCGGATACATATCATTTCAGCTATCGTGAGAATGTCCCTATGTTGAGCAATTCTTATTAACTTGATAGGACTCTAAAAGATATAAAACTAAACTAATTCCTTTATTAAAAGACAAAAGAGCAACCATCAATCTCCGCAACTGCAAAGTCACACGTCATACTTTGCATATGTAGTAACTTACTGATATTCAACTTGTACAATTAAATTTGCCAGCAGAAAAAATCTTCTGACAAAGGAGATAAAGAATTTATTTACATGAATTCGCAAATTAAGATTACCCATGAAAACAATGAAATATAATCCCTCTTAATTATAATTTTGATTATTGAATCTTAATTATCATACCGTATCCCTTCAATACAAAATACATATGTACCACCTTAACTTTACGCCGAAAGAGTGAACCTTCAATTTGCAGTGGCAGGAAAAGCGTCTCTTATTAGAAACGTGCGATGTGTGCAAGATAATTCGTTCACGCGTTTAACAACATGTCAAGGCTTGTTTTCCCCTCCTAACTACGTCGAATGCACTTTCGACAAATGAAAGTGTTAATCAAAACGCCTGTTTAATTAGCGCACGAAATCCTATGGTTATCGGGATCTCTAGAACGTTAAAAATCAATTCGATACAATGGTTATTATTACACATATTTCGACACTTTGAAATTTTATTTGCAAACGGGAATATTACACGATCTGATGTGCTTCCTTAGGATCATATGGCCTTTAAATGGAAACACTAATATGAAAATAATTATTGAATATATAAACAAATTTAATAAGATTTACACAGCATAAATGTCAAAATATATCATGATTTTTTGTCGATTTTAAAGTTAGTAGTATCTGAAGACACATGAATAATTCTGCAGAACGGAAGGATATCGCTCGCTTGGGAAATTATATTGATTTTGTCAGAATGTACTGGTATGTTCAATAAAGAGTTTATATACTACGGAGGATCCAAGAGAATTGATGAACAGAATGTAACGTTATTAAACAAGTAATGATGTATTAATAATACAACCCACCTCATCCAATCTATTCTCTACCTGTCAGTAAGAAAATTGAAAATTAATTTATGGTGTTTACTTGGAAATTGCACTTTTGTTTCATTTTATTATCCAAGAGTTCATTTTTGTTCTTGACGCCAGTAGTAAGAAATGTCTTCGTGCGCTTGTGATTACTTTCGATTTGTTTTCGCAGTGCCTTGTCGTGAAGTATGTATGCTGCTGTATGGTAATGTTTAAGAAATGGTGTACATGATGCACACGCTTATCCCTCTAAAAACTTACGTTGGTGTGTGTGTGAATTAGTTTAAGAATCTATAGCTATAAATAAACATAACAATAGTAATCAGTTTCACTTTCTGAACTGATATATATGTATATGACCTCTGGAATTTCACAAACCCGCGTCTATATAATTTAATTTGATTGTCGATTGGAGAACATTCCATACATTGTAGTTATATACTACGATTCAGTCTTACCGCTTATTTAAGCCCGTATTTCCATTAATGTACCTCATAAACCTAGTGAATCAGTAATATACATCAATTTACACTCAGTTACGGTAATGTTTACGTAAGTAAAATCATATGCATGTGCCTTCACCATTTAACTTTAAATTTATACGAGTTCAGATATTTTTATCAATATCAAAAATCAAAACGCGTTCGATATATTTTAATACTTTTGTGAACCAAATTTCATAATATTCGTCTTTCTCTGCACCACTAGGATGATATCAATTCAAACGTCATTTCAAAGAGACCAGTGAAATTTGGAATATTTTTAACATAATTCACACTACTTTATCAAACCCTGCTTCAGTTCAATATCTCTTACAGACAATCCGTGTGAAATTATTGAGCAAAAGTAATTCAGTGTCACCTTGAATAGACGTTGAGTCAGGTTGATAAACAGTTGTTATACACTGTGACCTATTTAAGACGAATCTAGATGGACTCTTAAAACGCAAGTGAATCATCTAATGTTTTGAGACACGTTCTGTGTATTTTCTGCTCGGGCTGCAAAGACTTGGTGACCTCATTAACATCGATAGATATGTCCTTGTAGCCTACACGCGATATCGTCTTCAGATTCGATATTAAAGGGTCTGGTCCCGTTATCACGGCTTTCATTTTTCAAGAATTCGTCAACTGACTGACAAACTCGTAATACAAGGGTTCAAAATATGCAAGTTGATGAAAATTATGGGGAAGTTTTATGGTCGCCATGGTGATTTCATTGAGAAAATTACATTTCTTTGTGTGGCTCGATTATAATCAAACTGATTTCTCTTGCGATACCCACATTAAACCATACCATTCTTGCTGCCGATAAGCATTTTCTTCAAGATACCTTGTTTATAACGAAACTAAAATGATCTCTGGCTTTGCCAGAAAACAAACAAAACACAGTGGGAAAATGCTGTTATATCATAATCATTATTATGTTTGGCAGATTCTAAAATTGTTACACGACTGTCCTTTAAAAGTGCAATCATACTTCCACTGTATAGCTAGAACGCATTAACGTAACACTATACCACTAATTTCAGTCCTACAGACAGGAAACATTAATTAGTCCTGTAATTATGGCGTGATCGTTAAAGGCAGCAAAGTTTAATCGAAGAAATTACTTACTTTACTCTTTTGACCGTTTAAGCATTTGCAGCGTTAGAAAGATATGAATGGCTACTCCATGAATTATTAAACGTTTTTATGTTCCTTACTAGATGCCCACCATTGACGAGTTTGTACATGAACACATAAAGGCTTTTTAAGATTTACGGTAAAGGGCCGGTAGAGATATGATACTGTTTCCGTACGTCTTGACAATCTAACAGACTGCCTGTAGTAGAATGATTCCTTAAGCTAAAAGAGTTGACGTAGGCACTATCCTAAGATGCCATTAATGTGCTTATAGTAACGGGGATAATTTATTCTGCTCAATCCATTTCATTTTATCCACTGCGAGCTGCTTCCCCCTTGTCTTCGCCCCATCTTAAGCTGAAAATTTATCAAAGAACAGTTACGATACTTCCAACTGTTCTGATCCGATCAG